TCATAGCGTTTTTGTGAAAACATCGCTAAACGCTTCTACTCAATTTGTAAGCACTTTTACTCATGTTTTCTAATAAAATGGAATTAAAAAAATCAAGATTTTTTGAAAATAAATAGAAAATGTTCCAAATCAAGAAAATAAAGATATTCCAATATCGGGAAATCAGGGCAAAATGGGTTAAGTGTTTATTTATTTACTTTTACATATTTTACCACGAGAAGGGTGGGGGAGGGGGTTTGTTAAAAACATTTTCTAAATTTTGAGAAGAGTATATTAATGAAGGATAATAAAAAATAATTATAAAAAGTGGCTATATTTTAATTATATTAAATAAGTGTCTTATTCAATTTTCTCATTTTGTAAATTGCAAAAATTTTAGGCCCGGCCATACCTCCCATATTCTAAGTGAGGTGGGATTTTTAATGACTAAAGGATAAAAAGCGGGAAAGCGCGACAACTGCAATCCTTTTATATATAAATATTGGTGAATAATTTTTTTCAAATTATAATAAAGCTGTAATGATAATCAAGGATGCAGGGCTATCCATTGGTCTATCAATCAACCATGAAAAATCAGAATTCATTCCAATTAATTCATCTGAAAACAATTTTCATAATTTCAAACAGATAACTCTGGAGAAATTATCTCACTTAGGTGCTCCCGTTGGTGGACACACAGCCATATCATCCTTCCTACAATCTACACTCGAAACCCTTAATGAGTTGGCTGACCTATTTTCCCTTCTCCCCTCTCATAAAGCCTTTTTTCTCCTGAAAAATTTCTTTAATATCCCAAAAATTCTTTACACGCTCCGCTCTACCCCTATTTTTAAATTTCCCACTTCCTATTGCATTTATGAAAATGGGATTAAAGTCCTAATTAAAAGTATCCTTAATCTAAAATTCCATGAATTAGCGTGGACACAAGCCACCCTTACTACCAAGATGGGAGGACTAGGCATCAGATCCCCTTCCGATCTTGCCTTAACTGCCTTTATATCGAGCTGTCTTTTAACCAAATATTTAGTCAATCCTAATTCCTTAAATTCTGACCCTTCCTTTTATAGTGCCATCATTGAATGGAAATCTCGATTCATTGCCGACCACCCAACAGAAACGAACAAGCAGAAGGAATGGGATATGCCTATTATTGCAAGCTGCGTCGAATCTCTCCTTTCCAGAATGGGACCGTCCATTATTCTCCTCTCTGCTTAATGGTTCTGGACATGAGTTTCTCGAAGCCATTCCATCCGCGAACTTACAATTACAATTGACCCAAAATGAGCTAACTCATGCTATAGGCATCCGTTTAAATTGCTTAGTAACCCAACCCCACATCTGTGCCGGCTGCAGTTCTGCTGTTTTGAGTAATGGAAGGCATAGGCTACATTGTCGTTCATGTAAAGGCTTCATCGTTAGACATAACATTTGCAATTCTATAATTCTTAGAGCTCTGAGATCCGCTCAAATTCCTTCTATTCTCGAACCCTCTGTTCTTTTCAGATCTGATGGGAAACGCCCTGACGGGATCTCTCAAATTCCCTGGAAGCGAGGTCACTTCTTGGTCTGGGATTACTCTTGTATTGATCCATTGGCTCCTTCCAATCAATCCCTTAACATTCTGGAGAACAAGGAGCTTCTAAAAATTGCAAAATATTCAGAGATATCCCAAAATCACTTATTCATTCCCATCATTTCCACTACCTTGACTACCTTTGGGAATCGTGCTCTTTCTTTCTTCAAGGAACTTGGATCGCTAATCCGCAAACTAACAGATGAACCTCGTGAAGGCATCTTCTTAAGACAAAGACTCGCCATAGCAATTCACAGGGCCAATTACATCAGCTTCATTGGCAGCCTCATCTCACATGATGATTAGAATATATTTTATATAATTTTAATCGCGTAATGAATAGTTTATTATAATGTATTATCATATTTTTTTTCTAAATTTATAGAATTTTTTTACATATATTTAAATATTATATTATAATGTGCAATTAATAAAAATTTACAAATTTAAATTTGAATTTGAATATAAAGTCAAAATATATAAAAATTAGATCCAAATTTACATATTTATCGGAAGGAATTTATTTTATTTAAAAGTTTATTATATATGAAATATATTTTAACTCTTCGCAATTCATGTAAAAATTCTGCTTTACCATTAATTCGGCCTCTAATAAATCAAATGAGACCGAAGAAAGATTTTTTCGCCTAATCATATTCATTAAACTCATTTCTGAGCCAGCATTTGAATGTAGAATTAAAAATAAATTTTTAGAAATTTTTTAGGCTTATATTTACATTTTTATTTAATTCTTTCTAAATATTCTAACTTGATCGTATTATTCAAAATCAAAGGTTTAAGCTATTTATATCTATAATTACCATAATAGTTTGATAATTCTGAGTAACTTCTTTATATGCTTCAACTTGTGTATCACAGAGGAATAGACAAGATTTATATATTTTAATATCAGCGCCGTTAAATTTGGCGGCTGAATATTTCTACGAACTAATTGTAAATTTATCACTATTTCTTGCTTTATTTGTACCAATTGAGCATTTAAACGAGTATAGTAGCTCGTAAAAGGAAAAAACTATTAGTAACAAAATTTTGGCAAATCTATGATTTAAGCGACGGAAATAATTTATTCAGAAAATTTTATCGATGTTCCGTATTAATTATAATTTAATTCGTTTAATAGACAGTATAAAGAAAAAGTTTATTAGCAAAATAAGAAAAATTGCCTAATTTGGCATTATTGATAGAATGGGAAATAGCTGGTTTGCGCTAATATTTATTTATTCTTCAGTCATTTTTTTCACACACAAAAAGGTAATCGTACTATAAGAGAAATAATATCTCCCATTAAAGCGTAAAACCAACCAAATTTCTGGAAGCATTTAATCTGGAACTTAAATCAATAATTGAAATTTATTACATTGATTCTTCAATTCATTTGGTAGATAGTTTTTCGACAAAATAAGATAAAATTGCCACGATATAAACATGCGAAAAAAACAAATATTTTTGGGTGAGCTCATACCATAGAAATGCCAGATTAGTACTTACTATTCCATCAATCAGTTTTTCTAGTCAATAAACAAAAACTAGTTTTAATAAGAGAAATAGACAATAGCAACCTTTAAGTATGAACAGGGTTGCCATGTCTCTCCCCATCAGCGGGACTCAGCAATTTTTTAGTTTAAAAGAGGATATCTCTCTCCCGCAAAACTACCGCAATTGGAAATCTGCCGCAAAAATCTACCGCAATTTAATTTCTCCCGCAATTTTTTTAAAAAAGTATTTTAAACGTTTTTAATATGTTAATAATAATTTTGAGACATTAATTGATTATTTTTATATTTTTAAATTAAATTTTAAATATTTATTCGAAAAACATGTCTAGTTTGTAAATTTCTTTCTATCCTGTTTTATTTTTATATAATAATAAATCAACATTATTTCATTAATATTAGTCAGTAGGGGAGACTGGGGTTAGGTGAATTGATTTTTACAAAATTGTTTATAGCTCCTGGGTTTTTTTAGATAATATAAAAAGCAATATATGATTGGATACCTAAAATTATACTCTATAAAGGTGCCTTATAAAAAAATTCTAGAATATAATCATTTTTTTGAAATTTTATTTTTTGTAAAAGTCGTAAATTTGCCCAACAAGCCCCAATAGCGGGGTGAGGCAAACCACTTCAAGGGGCTTCCTAAACCAATGATTTGTTTAGGCCATAATAAATTAAAATATATTTTTATTTATTAATAATGATACATATACTATAATTTTATTCTTTTATTGTTAAAAATATTATAATACATATAAATTGAAGCTAATTATATATAAAAATTGAAACTTAATTTTGGTTAATTTAATACACATTTTCGACATATAAAAAATTTATCAAAATTAGCACATGTACCATGTGCCCATTCGTGGCACATTCTGCACTGGTACATGTTTGATATATTCCAGCTTACAACAAACACAAATATCTTTGTGAATAATTTTTTTCACTATTTTTCTCTTGTTAATATTTTCTTTTTCCATTATTTTCTTATCTTTCTCAATTAATTTCTTTTTATAAGGAGATGATGTAAATATCTCTGCTCTCCTTTTAACTCTCTTGACTCTTTCCTTTTTGGGATGAGGCAAGGATATTGATAAATTGCACGATGGTCCAGGAATATTATCTAAATGAACATAAGACGTAGATGGAGTATCATTACATATATCTAAGTTTCTATTAGTATTTAAAATATCTTTTAATACCAAAGATACTGAGTTTGATTCTAATAATGGGCTTTTTGGAAGTTCACATATAGAATCTCCATAAACTGAGGCCACATAATCTTCTTTATTGAATATATCTGTATTCAGTGGATATATTCCACCTTTAAAACCATTTGATATATTGAGAGGTGATGCTGCTAAAGGCAAGACATCCTTAATAACTAATGGACTATCATAAATTGTAAATAATTTTCCTGGATGGCTACCCATCCAGTAATCAAGTGCATTATTGTAATATTTTTTGAGAGGCCCAAAAACAGACCGATCAAGAGGCTGTAATTTATGGGTGCAATGGGGTGGCAAAGATAATAGAATTATTCCCGTATCTATACAAAATTTGACAGCTGAATAGGAGTGGTGTGATATATGAATGTCAAGGATTAATAAAACTTTGGACTTTGGAGTACACCGAGTGTGTTTAGAAAAATGCTTCAAAAAAATAATAAAATCCTCCTCTTGCATCCATCCAGAACCATATGATACCCCTATAGCTTCTCTAACAAAATAGTCATAATATTTTTTTCTGGGAAAAAGAAACATTGGAGGAATTGTATGACCAATTGCATTTACAGCAAGCGCTAATGTTATTAAGGTACCCCTTTCTGCGGAAGTAATAGATCCTACCTGTTTTTGACCCTTTTGTGCAATAATCTTGGATGGGGTTTGAACTGTGGTAAGGTAAGTCCAGTTTCATCCATGTTGTAAATTGCCATACATTCTAATTTATGTTCATCTAATATTCCTAAATATTAAATGTAAACATTTACTTAACAAATCATTTAATAAACTTTTATATAAATCAAAAAAGTATAGAACATTTTCTTCATTAAATCCAGTTGCCCTAGCCATACTTGTAGCTTCAGGGGATCTTAAGGAGAGAGTAGGATTTCTTGACATAAATCCTAAATACCAGTCATGGCCAGCCATTGAATTGTCCTTCCAAGATTTAGGAAATTTTTTCTTCATATTTACTGCCATTTGGTAGGCTAATATTTTTATCTAAAAAACAATATAAAATAATGAAGAATAAACTATACCTTTTTAATTGAAAGGCCATAAAAAATTTGGCTAGATTGAATCAGATATTTAGTTATATCTCCCTCTTCTTCTTCTGTGAATATCCTCTTTTTATTATTTTATCCTACACTAGTAAGTATGCCACTTTCTTGATATCTCTTATAATATCTCATAAAGTTTGATCTAGGAATACCTAAAATAAAAATGTCAAGTAAAATATATAATTATTTAATTATAAGATTAACGTTTAAGAACATAAAATTTAAAAATGATAATCTCTTTACCATTACCATTACCATTTAGATTTTATTAGCATATTCTCTATTATTAAATATTGCTAAAATTTGATTTTAATGTTTAAGAATTACATAAAATTAATACAATAATACTATATTTCATCTAAATTGTAATCAATCTAAAATATAAGATCATTTATAAATTACATTTAATAGAAATATTTACATAATTTCTATTATTATTTGCTAAAAATTGATTATATTGTTTAAAAATTACATAAAATTATTGTGATTATATCTTAAAAATAAGACAGATAATGTAGATAAATTTACCTGTAAGTTGGCTAGTCTTCCTTGTTGATTTACAATTTTCATATACCCTAATAGCCTAATTACAAATATAATATTAATTCATTAAATTTTTATATACTTCTAAATAATTATCAATATTAAATGATTCTCCTATATTAATTTTTTTGGATTTATATTTTCGCACCATATCGAATAATGTAATAATTGCTAAAAAAAATTATTAAAATGGATTGACATGTATGGTTTAGCAAGCCCCGCTAGCTCTAAATTTACTAATCATGATTGAAATACTATATAGACATAATAAATATTCATAAAACTTTCCCAAATTATAGAAGAGTGTTTAAACTTTGCCATAAAATTTAATTTATATATAAATGAATATATATTTTAATAAAAATTAAAATTCTGTCATGTAAAAATCTTTAGAAAATTTCATCAAAATTTTATTTCTTAAATAAAATTTTTAATAATTAATCATTTCAAAAGATTTTTTGTCTATAGATGTAAACAATAAAATCTATATTAGGATAAAATTTTAACCTTCTAGTGTTTATAATTTTAAAATAATATTAAATGGTTTGCCAAGCCCCATGGTTTACCTAACCCTAGTCTCCCCTATATTGAGGTATCTATAATCTATGGAACATTAATATGGACAATGTAATATCAGCAAAACATAATAATTCATTCATTTTAAGACATTTGGGAAATAGGAGCTATAATATACATTATTTGGGTATAATTACTGGTAATTAGAAAATAATGATTTTACATATAATACTGTAATGTGAACACATGGTCTATGTGTGAAATGCAATTTCAACACATGTAATTGTCCTTCTGTCATGTAAACAAAATCAAAGCTACATTTTTATAAATATCTCCTAAAATAGATATAATAATCCATTTAGGTATTAAAAATAATTGTGAAATTTGCAGAACAAAGATTTTAAATAAAATTACAAGACACATGTATAGAAATAAATTTAATATTTTATAGGGAGGAAAAATATATAATATGTAGAAAATACAATATTTCCCATCTAGGAATTACTCAGTATCCTAAGAAAAATATACCATTTCTACCTAACTCTGCCATCACAATTAGCCCAAATTCACAAAAATGTAGAATACAAAGTAACAAAAATTGAGAATATAATAGGCTATATGGTATATATGTAAAGAATTTTTAATATACCTTCACAATATAAAATAATTTGAGTCTTTTTTTTAAAAAAAAATGTTCATAAAATAAATAGTAAAATGTGATGTGCTATAAAATTATTACAAAGATAAAAAAAATGTAATATGCATCATAAATTTACAAAAAAAAATTTACACAAAAAAAAAACTTTCTCCAGTATGCAAACTAAACATTATTCCCACCTCAAGGCATACCCCTCAACATGGGCTGACCTTATCTGTAAAAATATTTTCCCTTCACATCATTGCATACCATAAAAATAATATAATAATTGCAAATAAAACCTTATATATTAAATATAGAGATTTCATAATTTAAAAAAAAAATATTACACATCATCTAATATATAATATAAATCCCTACCCAATTTATATATATATATCAAATGCAGACACTAAATCAAAATAACTATCTACATCTAACATTATAGATATTATTCTGACTTCATCATACTTCAATTCCTTTAAATTATCATTCATAATTAAATATATCATATGTGTTATTCACATTACACCCTATTTCATAAAAATGGTTAATTACTTCAAAATAAACAACATTAACTCACCCTCAATAGATCCCTTAATAACATATCAACCTTAATTGAAACTTAATTACATATACAATATATTAACATTGATTAATAATAAATTATCCCACACATGTCCATCCCTTTAATAACCTAAAATGCATAATTACAAAAGTCCATTTCTATATGTATTTTCATAAATTTCAAATATTTAAATATTTAGCAATCCTTTCTGCCCTGCTATTTTTAAAGGTCTTATCTTCCTATGACGGAATACCTATAACACCATTCAATGAGTTTTAAGGCATACTAAATAATAAGACCATATCTACTGTCAAAATTGGATATACAATATACATCTAGTCATATGATATACCAAATATTACTGTCTTAAATTCCTGATCTTATTTTCATATTCCTGCCTAATATTCATTACATACTTTCTATCTTAAGCTTTGTAAGCTAAATATTTAAAAATTATAGAAACCCTAAACTCACCTCTTAATCTCACTTACACCTGTATAGTGATTAGTACTTATGCGTTGTGTACCTAAATCCATATGTTGTCGATCCTGGTCAGCTGGCAACAATATTGAAAAAAATATATAAAAAAAATGCCCTTTACTCTCAAAAATATAACTTATCAATCCAAAATAATCCCTTTCTAATAATATTAAATAAATATAATAAACATTACTAGAATTCATCTTTATTTATGCACATATAACATTATAGATATTAAACAGTTGAAAAAAAGAAGAAATAAATTTAATATAAGAACAAAAACCTCTTATCCTATCCTAAACTACTATATGAAACTTACTCAAATACTCATTTAATCTATTATCATATACTATAATCATTTAATTTAGATACCATTTATATATATATATATATATATTAATTGAATCTTTTTGAAACAGTTTCTTATATATATTCTATCTATCATCGTGTGTGATTGCTATTATTACAAGGCGGATTCTCTGTAAGATATAGGTAAAAGATTAAATAAATTTCATAATTAACCTCACTTTAACTGGTAACTTATAATACGTTATGTAGTATGACACTCAACTATAATAGATAACAGCATAGTTAGAACCACAAACGGATTTCCACCGGGTTAGGGAATCATAGAAGGGGGTTTCAGGTTGTGCCAAATCTCATACCTGGATATAACTCCATCCCAAACTTTTTAATAGGGATAAAACTTTTAAATTCCAGTTGCATATATTAGTTAGTATCTCACCCTGTCTTGAATATATGTTCTAAGTTAGGCAAAAGGGGAAAAAATAATTTAAGGAAATGAATTATAGGAATAAATGATTAAGTTTTACTTCATGAACCTTGAAAACTAGCTAAGTCCCGAACTCGTTCTACTTATAAGTTGATAATTGGTTTGATATATATTGTATTCTAATAAAAATTAACCCCTTATACTAATAAATATTACATAACGAGTAAATCATTATTCACTCTAATGCTTATGTTTCTAAATACATTATAATATAAGATAATAACCTAATCGGATGGCCTTGCCCTCCCCTTTTACAATATTTGAAACCAAGGATATCATCCGGAATATATCTTATGAGTGGCACAAAAAAAATGAAAATAAATATATAGTTTGGTCTCTTTATCTCCAATAAGGATTATCACTCGAAATTTATCTTGTAGGTAGCACTAGTGTTGTTAATTTGCTTGGTCGTAAAATTTACGACCAAATTTTGTACTCAGGCCGACCCGGGGTCCAGACCCGAGGTTCATATTATTTTTATATTGTTAAATTTTTTATTCCGGAATCTAGACACGGGGTTCAGATAAATGTAAAGTAAGATAAAATAAATCTCATATCTAATCTTAAATTAAATTAATATTATTATACCTTCTAAATTAATAATTTAAAGCTTTATTTTATTCTCATTTTTCTTACCATTTAAATATTTATAATTTTGGGTGCTTTTGATTGGAATTTGTTAAAACATTCACAATCCGGGTTTCGACCCCGGGTTTCGGGCTCAAGCAAGCCTGTGCATAAAATTTCGTCTTAAATTTTACGACCTAGCATAGCATAGCAAATTAAAACAACACTAACTGACTGACTGAGGAGAGTGATGCTAACATAACATTTAAACTTAACCATATTAATATTATTTATATTTAATATTTTATCATTAATTTATATTTGAATTTGTGTTTTAGAAATTGCCAATATTTTATAAATAGTCACTATTTTTCAGTGTTGTTCTTGTTGTGCTTGTGTTGTCTTGCTTTTGACTTGCACTTGTGCGTGACGATTTAATAAATAAAACCCATTGTTGAGATAAAAATTTTTGTTTGTAAAATTAATTATAATAAATAACACATTTATTTAAAAAGTTATTTAACTATAATTAAATAAACTATATAAATTGATTTAATTTTTTTATAAATTGCAAATGTTTTATTTTATTTATTATTCATTTCTTAGTTATATCGTCAATTATCTCTTGAACACATTATTTTTAAAATATGGTTATTATATTTATATAATTATAATACAAAGAATTTTTTTTGGATTGATATAAGAGTTTAATATTATCATAGAAAAGTGAAATAATTTTTATTTATTTGAATTGTAAAAAAAAAAATTTTTTAAAAATTTATTGAAAAGCTTATAACTGTTTCCAATGAGAGTGTAGGTAGTGTTGCATATTATATAATAGTAAAGATGTGCTAAACCCATATTTTTAAAAAAATGGGTTTGAGCTTTATAGGTTCTATAAAAAAAAAAAATTTTTTTTTTAAATTCCGGCCAGGTAGGGTAGTGCCTTGGAAATTTTTTTAAAATAAATATAAATATATGAATAATTATAAAAAATAAATTTTTGCTGCCTGTGCTGGTAAAATTTTTTTAATCGGGTTCGAGCCGGAAAACATTTTTAAAAAATTTTGGGTTGGGCTTGAAAAATTAGGCCCTATGCAGATCACTATAATACATTATTATAATATATTTTCCTCTCGCTAATTAATAAGTAATTACTATGTTTAAGATAACACATTTGTATTTTATATATCTAGTAATATATTTTTATTTCATTTTTTTTAAAATTTTTAAATCAAAATATAAATCTTTTTTTTGTGAGTTTTAAAAATAATTTCCGGTATTGGGAAAAAGGAATAAAAAAAACAGACCGGTTTATGGGTCTTGGAAACTTTCTTAGAAAGTGTGTCAGCATACCCTGGCTTAATAAATTAGTATCGTTATGCCAATTCCCCTTACTAGTTCAGAATGAGGTGCTAACTTTCTTTTAATTTCATCGCTATAATATTGATTTTTTAAATAATTTTAGAAATGTATCTATTGGACATATATATTTGATAACATTAGTTCCTAAATTTGATTGAGATAATTAGAATACTTGGATATTCGTATTATTTAAGGGGGGGGGGGTGCCTATTCTAAAGTCAAAATATAGTATAATTTATAATATCAATTTATACTTTTTATCTTTTATTAATTAATAAAGTTTAATAATTATTATTAAGGATAATTTATCTTAATGTGGGTCTGAACCCCGGGTCTGAACCCCGGGTCTAGACCCCGGGTCTGTGCTCAGAGCTGGTTGGTCGATTTTTTAGACCCAAACCCCGGGTCTGGTTTTATACAACTAACCAATTAACAACACTAGGTAGCACACAAATAAGTAATGGAACTTTATAAACTATACTTACATCAGAATGACATAATTGAAATGAATATATATATATATATTACTTTTTACCTTTTCCCTTCTCTCCCTTACAGAATCGGCACGGTAATCATAATTAAATTTTTAATAAAGTTTTCAATGAAGGACCACAATATTAAAATGATCTCTTTAAATATAAGATCCCTGAATGATAAACTAACTATACTTAGGCAAATTATGAAAGACCAACATTACGATATCCTCCTTTTACAGGAGACCCACCTTAAAGTAACTGAGGTAAGGAACCTCTTAGATTACACCTTATATTGCAGCTCAAATGCAGAACACGTATGGGCAGGGGTGGCGATTATGATACATAATAAACTAATAAGATTCGTAAGCTTCAACCCAATTTCCAGCCGAATATGCTGCCTTACCCTAAACTTAGGATACAAAAAAGTCCATTTGTTTAATATATACGCGCCTCACAATGATAGCGTTTTCTATATGGAATTGGAAAATGTCTTAAAGGAACTACCGCATCGGGATGGCATCATTCTAGCAGGTGACTTCAATGCTTCGGTAGGTAAATCTAAGAACTCTTCCTGCCTTGGAAACGCCACATTAATACAAAGCACGAACCCCAACGGTAAAAGGTTAATAGAAATCTGCGAGCTTTTCAACTTGAAAATTGGAAATACTTTCTTCAATCATCCAACTCATCACATCATGACTTACAAGAGTCCTTCCTTTGGCACTACCTCACAGATAGATTTCTTTATAATTTCCACTAAAATTTTCAAATGGGTGAAAGACATCAGGGTAATCAGTAAACTAAACCTTGCACTTTTTACGGATCATTATCCACTGGGCTGTGAACTCAAAATTAACAACAGTATCTTCCCAAACCACACTAGACAGAACAGTCTCACCACTGTAAAATACATAGCTAGAAAAGCTTGGCACAACTAAATGACTTAGAGGTGAAAGAAGAGTTCGTCTCTAAATTAACATCATGGAGAAACTCAGTAAATGGCATGATAAACCCAAATCTGACCTGGAAGGACATTAAGCATAATGTATTAGGTAGTATAACATCATGCTTAAGACCACGCACCAAGCGCAGAGAGTGGCTCACCCCTTCAACAATACAAATAATTAAGAATCTTTAAACAAATATATCCCACCATCAATTCGCAAGACATCATAGGAGGTACATTACCCACCGCATAAGAGCTGACAAAAGACTGTTTATTGCTAACTTATCGAATTCTATCCAATTAAATTTTGATAATAATAATATTTATAAGGCCTTCCAATCTCTAAAACTACTCAACACCTTTAAAACCAATCCTTTACCAAGACTACAATTAAATAACAACAAGATTATAACTGACCCTAAGGAACAATTAGACTTATGGATAGACCACTACATGAACCTCTACAAAACGAGATGGCCTAGACCTAGATGTGACTACCCCTTCCAATCACCCAGTCAGAATTTGAACAAGTCCGATATAGTCGGTGCCATCAAACGTCTAAAAATGCATAAAGCTGCTGGAGCTGATGGAATTTTTGCAGAACTCTGGAAGATAGAGGTAGACCTAAGTTCCAGCTTACTACTTCCCCTCTTTAGGGAGATTATTTTTAATGTAATAATGAATGATATCCTAAATAAATCCTTTAAACAGGAATATGCACTCAACACATATTACAGTGATCAACAACACCTCAATGATATGCACAACTCTTTAAACTTTCTAGGTTATGCTGACGACGTATGTATTCTAGCCAACTCAGAATACAAATTAAGAAATATTTTATCATTATTTGTCAACAACTGTGATGGATATGGTTTAAGAGTAAACTACACAAAAACCAAGCTGATCACCTCAAATACTGATGCGAGTAACTTAAACCCCTTAATACGATAGAATTAGTGTCAGATTTTAAATACCTAGGAATCAGGATAACGTCATTAGGCCTCACCTTTTTAGATATGAAATCGAGAACGAATAATGCTAGACTCCGCTATCATCAACTGTCGAAATTATGGTCATCCAACCAAATATCAACTAATTTAAAAATAAGACTCTTTAAGTCCCTAATTGTACCCATTTTTACCTACGGCCTGGAGACTTGGCAAGACTCAAAAAGTAACATCAGCACAATTCAGACTTTTATAAACAAATGCCTTAGAAGAATCACCAAAACGTATTACCCATACAACACATCAAATACAATGCTCTGGAATAGATGAAACATCCTACCAATCAATCGTCTCATACCCTTGAGGAGACTAGAATTACTAGGCCATAGCTTAAGACACTCGCAGGAAAATATGATATTCTCATCCTTGAAATGGTGCCCTGACGGTAGGAAGAAAACCCCTAAATACTATTGGTTGGCGAAATGTTTAAAAGATATGGACCTGATTAACCTCTCGTTTGCAGATTTCATGGCGCTCAGCAAAAACAAGAAACAGCTAAAGGAACATTTACAATACATGCTAAAATATGGCCTAAATTAATATCGCAACCGTTCTTCACCTTTACGTTCTTGCAATAAATGGAATTAGTGTATTTGATAATGATAATAACCTGAACAACAACAACATAACTTAACTTCCTTTATTAACCCACGACCTTCCTTTCTGGACACACGATATCGGCGACGATAACGATAACAATTACGAAACTATTAGTTGTGTAATAGACAATGAGAAGATAAACTGGCTATAATAATAACGCAATAAATCGGACGAACCCAAATATCATTGGCACAGCACATACAAGATCTACAGGACATACAATATTTTGGCACACCGAACAACAAACAAGGAAGAGACTCTTCATGCAAACTTAACATAAACTCTCAATACTTAACAAGATATAAGGGTTACTATTTTTTGTTGCCTCACTAAATACCACTTTAGGATGCAGGTACATTATTATATGACAATTTTTTTTTCCTTAACACTATTCTGCCGGTAACGGAACTAATACATCACCATTATTGTACTTCTTCCTTCTTCACTTTGCTAACAGACTACATAGTGGTACCGTCCACTATAATAAAACGGGTAGACATCATGTATGGGATCTATATACTAGTGAAAATACATGATGCACGCTTCAACTCCTGGTGGGTGATGAAACGTGGTGATGAATGAATGAATGAAATTTAATATAATACATCAAATGTCAGTTATTTTCCTAAAGATGCAAGAAATGTCCTAAAAAGGTTAAGGATTGCTTTCCCGTTGCTAAAAATGTAGTATGTACCCGGATACCGTGTTTTCCTTGCGAAATGTATTTAATGAATGAAGAAATCGAAAAAATGACATGCCAAGCCGTTCAACAACCTTAAAATATATTTGCCATATAATTGATAAAACATCCTTTAATGATTATAACATTATTGAAAAAAGATTATAATCTAATAAAGGCTCTAAATATAGTCATTATAAAATAAAACTGAACAAAATAAAGTTGCCTAAATCTTCTCCTCTTGCTATACTCCGAAATTCTAAATTTACTTATTTTTTTTATGGAGGGGGGCTATCAATTTCATTTTTTTGATCACTTCCTATTATTCCTAAGTTTAATTTTGATTGATGGTAAAAATTTTATTGATTCTTATGAGATTCTAGATTTCTTATTTATTTATTTGAAGGAGTGGGGGGAGGGAGGTGGGTTAACTCACCCTTTGAAACACTTTTCCTATACCTAATTATGATGGATATTTCTTTATTGGGATAAAATGGTATGGTATGATTTAAAAAAAATAAAGTCGCCATATTATGAGTGGTAAAAATTTTATTTCTCCTTATGAAATTTATATAATATTTTAAAAGGTATCACGTCAATTCGACTCGGAAAATTCGGCGCAGTGTCAACTCAACCCAGCGACAATTTGGCGCGTATCTAATATGGTTGCAATTTATTAGTATAAAACAAAGGGATCATTAGATGGAAGTCATGTTGAGGGCTGGATATCAAATAAAAAAAATTTAATAAACAAATATTTATACTCGAAAATTACCATCTTATAAGATGTGTTGATCCAAAAAATTCAAATTATCTTTTAGAAGTAAAGAATTAACAAAAGGGACATGCTAGGGTTTGAATTTTTCAATCATATCCAGCGATTGTATTAGTTTAGAAAATAATTATTGACTTAAAAATAGATTTTCCTTTAAGACTGACTTATTTTATAGATTTATTAAAAATCCATAAAATAATTCTATTAATCATAAAAAATTATATCATTTTTAAATCAGGGTTTCGAACCGAACTGCGAAACAGAGAATTTTTATTGATATTACACATTTAGTAAATAAAATTGAGATTTTTGAAAGAAAAAAAATATGAAGAAATAATTAATAGGACCAACATTCAAAATGACTTCTATTTAATCATTCTTTTTTTTATACTAATAAATTTATAATAAATTTCAATTTTATTAGATATACGTAGAATTGACTTGTAACCAGGGACTCGCTGTGAACCAATAAACCACTAAAACGTTATAAACTTTTATAAATATCTGAACCGTAACCAAACCGATATAAATATTTTCAGAAGGAGTAAAAAGAACCTTTATAAGAAAAAGTTAAAATAAATAATTTCACCTTTTATTACATACTTTTCCTTGTGATGTATATATTTTACCACATCTATGTCGTTATTTATAATTATTAAATGATACAAATATTTGTTTAATATCCAAGTATGTATTAATTTTTCACTATACTTAAACCAATCCACAATCTTTTATTTGCTCCATATAGTATTAGAGCATTCCTATTTCCTATATGCAAAATATCTAAACAACCAATTTTTAATTTAGTTTTATTTAATTAATCTAAAAAATCACATCAGTTTTTATATATTGGGAATCATATAAATTAAAATATCCAAAATTATATAAACTTGCTCTTTGCGGTTTTCGCAACACAAGTTTCTGTTAAAAGGGCATTCTCGGGCTAAGATTTGTGTTATCGCCACAACGAATATATATGATTCCACTTGTATCAGAAGATGTATTACTTATAAGTTCAAATAATATATATATATATATTTCTTTTAAAATATATAATAACCTTTATTTTTCATCATCCAAAACAAACAAAGAAATCAATTTTTTATAAAACAAAAATATATTATTAATATATATAATAATGCTATAAAAAAAAAGAACGGAGATGGTGTGGCGCAGGGAAACAAAAATGAAAAAGAGACGTAAGTGTTGTTTAGGATAGCTCTTTGGCTAGAAGACTACCATTGAAACTGATATGATTAGCTTTGAGAATCGCTATGGATAGTCGTTGACGAAGAAAAAAACCCTCTCGAGGTTCTTCTGAGAGTTTGCTGATTTGTGATCCTAAGTTTTTGAAAAATGCTAAGGCGAGTTTGCTGAAGGTGCCAAGAGTGGTTGATATGATTGGGATGAAGCAATGATCGTTCATTATTTCTGTGTATTTAGAAGTTTTAAGTTGTTCCTTCTGGTCAAGGATGTTGATGGCGTGGTTGGATGGGGCCAAGGGGTCAATACAGGAATAGTCCCATACCAAAAGTTGGCCTCTCCTCCATGGGATTTGAGAGATCCCGTCAGGACGTTTACCATCAGATCTAAAAAGACCCTGTGGTTCTAGAGTGGAAGGAATTTGGGCGGATTTCAGAGCATGTTGGATGATTGTATTACATTGCTTGTGTCTGATGAATCGTCCATTGCAGGAGCGACAATGTAAACTATGTCTACCCTTCGAGTCAACTGGCGAGTTGCACCCTGAGCAGATGTGAGGGTGAGTGATGGAACAATTTAGACGAATGCCGATGGCGTGGGTAAATTCATTGTTGGATAGTTGAAGCTGAAGATTGGTAGATGGGATGGCCTCAAGAAACTCATGTCCCGTACCATTGAGCAGGGAAGAGAATAGGGTGCGGTCGGTAGATTGCATGCTAGATAAGAGAGTTTCAACGCAGCGAGCAACCACTGGAGCATCCCAGTCTTTCTGTCTATGGGTTGTGGGGGGATGAGAATCAGCATTGATCCTTGTTTTCCAAATATCCACAGCCACGATTAAGGAAAGGTCTTCTTTAGAATTATGGGCGGTGGTTATTGGCTTTGTCAAGAGACTACTCGATATGAAAGTAGTTATTGCTAAGTCATGTGGAGATCTGATGCCGAGACCACCAAATTTGGTTGGAAGAGTTGCTTGGGCCCAAACGGTTTCGTTGAATCTGATATTTACTATTTTTTCGGTTAAGTCCTTTATTCCTTTTTCGTAAGTTTGGAGAGGAATAGGATATTTAAAAATTGGTGTTGACCGAAGTGCGTAAAGAATCCTTGGTATAAAAAAGAAATTTTTTAGCAAAAAAAGGACTTGTGTGATGGAAGAAGTGTAAAGATGTCCTCCAGTTTAAGGAGTATGTCAAGTGTGGGGAATGAAGAAAGGTGCTTATTGCCTCGTGCCCTCCTACAGGCGATCCTAGATGTGTTAATTCAACGCTTGATGTGAATTTGAAATCGTGAGTGTTGGGAGCATTAGAATTTAAATGTGAGAATTCAGATTTGCTCTGGTTAAGCGAAAGTCCAATGGTTGTGTCCATTTCTTTAATTATGTTGACTGCTTTGGTAATTTCACTACAGGGACCACTCAAGATTCCATCATCAATATACCAAGCGTGGAGCAATAGAGTACATGAAGAGTTTATTGATTTTATCATGTCATTGATTCCAAGACTAAAGAGAAGGGATCCGAGAGGGTCACCCTGTTGGATACCCTCGACAGAAAGTATCTTTTCTTTGTTGAATTGTAAGATTGTTGGTGATTGGTAGCAAGAGAAAAGAAATTTGGTGTAAGCGGGGAAATGGAAGCAAGTTGAATGTAGGAACGTGTTGCGCGAAAGAGTGTTGTAGGCGTTAGAGA